GAACTGCAAATTTCTTTCCTTCCCTTCCCTGGTCAGACTCTGAAATCAACATCCCTTGTGACTTCTCTGTGCCTCTTATGTTGTGCACAGTGATTGTAGTTTTGACAAAGAACCTTTTACCAGATGATGCTAAAATAGGCAAAGATGGTTTATTCCCAAAGGATTACTGGAAAGGGGGAGGGGGGAGTGTTACTATAGGGGGGGGACAGAAGTCCGTCTGATTTCAACTGCATTGAAGCACAGGGCAGAATGCTCTTGAACGATTAGAGTGAGGGGGTGAGAAAATGCTGGCAGATGCTAAGGAAGGCTTACGCTATGGTGTGCGTCAGTCACGAGCTGTTCATTCTTTGGTTTCCTGAGAAGGGCAAATGAAACGTGTTCCATCTAGATTCTGCAAGGGTTGCTTTGTGAGAGAAGTCGGGGACCTAGAGACAGGAATAAGCCTGGGACATCTGGTCACCTTACAAGTAGGACAGGGTACAATTGCCCCCTGTGAGTTTCAGAGGCTGTAACTGTTTACAGGAGTTGAAAGGCTCATCTTTCTCCCAGGGAGCAAGGGCCTGCACACCTCACTCAGCACCACGTGGCAACCAGGGCCCCTGAAAGGCTATATAGTAAAGTATATTATTAGATACTAACCAAAATGCATACAAATTTAAAATAGGCAGGTGCCAAAAAATAGTGTAGCTTACTAGTACTGCTTTGCGCACTGTGCTTTTAAAAGATCTATCTATATGGGCTCAAATAGACAGCAGCAACTGGCACGATTCTGCAGAAAATTCCAGGGGCGGTGAGTTGAGGTAAATGGTGTTCATGGGGGAGGAATAATCTGAAAAGGAGAGTGGGGATGGTTGCCAATTCAAGAGTAGAATCATGGTTGATCGCATTACGTATAGAAACTGTTGAGTTGCCATACGTTCTGCTGTGTATACCCTCAAGATCAACAACAAATAAACTATTCAAGAAATAGGCAGGTTTCTATCATCAAGGGCTGGCAAGCCATAGGTAACATAATTATTCTATTACGCCTACGTTTTTCTTCTTGGGAACAGTCTGAAGACATTGTATTTCATCCCCCCCGCCCGCCCCCCTTCCTCGGGACAGTGGTACCGCCTTCTGGCACTGGGCTGTTCTATGATCTTTTCTTAGTTGTTCTCCTCAGAAGACCTTCGAGATCGGGACGCTGAGATAACGGTTTCATGGTAACTCGCTGCTTTTGTTTCTGAGGGCTGCTGGCACGCACAGGCGTGGTTTTAAAAGACAGACATGTCTCCTTGGTCCACAGACCTGGAAATGGGAAGTGCCAGTCAAGGTGACAGCAGTGCTGTGCTTTCACTGGGGCAGAAGATTCCTCCTCGTCTCTTTTCACTTCTGGTAACCCTCGCTTTTTCTTGGTGTTCCTTGGCCTTTATATGCAGCTTAAGGACTCTTGATGGCTCTGCTGGTTCAGTCTTGGACTGCTAAGTGTAAGGCTGGCTGTTCTAACTCGCAAACATGGTGGGAGAAAGGTCAGGCTTCTATCTGCTTCCATAAGAATTGATAGCCTTGCTGGGATCTTAAAGGCTTGAAGACAAACAAGCAGCCATCTAGCTGAGAAGCAAAAGGCCTACATGGAAGAAGCACACTAGCCTGTGTGATCATGAGGTATCGATGGGATCAAATATCAAGCATCAAAGACCCAGAAAAAAAATCATATCAATGTGAATGAGGGGGAGGGCAGAGTGGAGACCGAAAGCCCATCTGTAGACAAGTAGACATCCCCTTACAGAAGGGTCACAAAGAAGAGACAAACCAGTCAGGGTGCAGTATAGCACTGATGAAACATACAACTTTCCTCTAGTTCTTTAATGCTCTCCCCCACCCCCACTATCATGATCCCAATTCTACCTTACAAATCCAGCTAGACCAGAGTATGTACATGGGTACACAGGTACAGATAAGAGCTGGAAATACAGGGAACCCAGGACAGATAAATCCCTCAGGAGCAACAATTATAGTAGCAATACCAGGAGGGGAAGGGGATGGTAGGGGGAGAAAGTGGGAACCGATCACAAGGATCTACATATAACCCCCTGCCAAGGGGATGGACAACAGAAAAGTGGGTGAAGGGAGACATTGGTCAGTGTAAGACATGAAAAAATAATAACAATTTATAAGTTATAAAGGGTTCGTGAGAGTGGAAAGGTTAGGGAGGGAGGGAGAAAAATGAGGAGCTGATACCAAGGGCTCAAGTAGAAAGAAAATGTTTTGAAAATGATTATGGCAACAAATGTACAAATGTGCTTGACACAATGGATGTATGTGTGGATTGTGATGAGCTCTGTATGAGCCCCCAATAAAATGATTAAAAAACATTTTTTAAAGGATAAATAAATAAATAAAAAGAATTGACAAGTAGTGTTACAACTCTTTCAGAATTTGTCTAGCAGGTTTTCTGTTTTTTACCGGAAAACCCCTTAAGGGAAAAAGAATTGACAGCCTTGGAAACACTCTGTAGGGTTGATACGAGTCAGAATGAACTCTGACAGTGGATTTGTTTTTAGTTTCCACATGGCTTCTGTTTTTCTCCTGTGCATAATTCTGTGTCCTGTCTGCTCTCCTATTATAATAATCTACCCAGAAGGGGTTAGACTCCCCCTTGCTTCTGTCTGATTTCCTTAACTGATAACATCTTCCGAGAAAGAATTTATGTCTAAACAAGTCACTTTCTCAGGTATGCAGGTTAGGACTTCAACATATTGTTGAGAGATCCAATTTAATGCATAACATCCACTTTCCCCTAACTCTTCTTAGTCTAAAGTGCCCCTCAGAGTGCGTTACTGTGCATCCGAGGCTGGGTAAAATCGTGCTCAAAAGGGTTTAGTGGCTGCTGGTGCTGTAGTGGGTCTGGGAACCCAAGGTCAGCAGTTCAAAACCACTAACTGCTCTGAGGAGGAAAGATGAGGCTTTCTACTCCCCTAAAGATTGACAGTCTCAGAAATGCACTGGTGCAGCTCTACCCAGCCATATAGGTTCACTATAAAGTGGAATCAACTCAGTGGCAGTGAGGTGGGGGTTTGATTTTTCGTTTTATTCCTGCCCGCTTGCTGAGTATGTGTATCGTAGAGTGGATGCATTTCTTTCATTGCTTGTTGGAAGATTGCCATCTGAATTTCAGCTTTGATTAGCTACCGGGAGAATTTCTAGAATCATGAAGGTGTGGAACTGTGGAAGGTTCTTAAGCTGTTTCTTCACAACCCTTTCGTGACTCACATTATGTGGTTTCGGTGAAGCTTCAGTGAGAAGAGTACTTGGTAGGAAAAAGAATGTTAACAAGGGAAGGACTGGAGAGTTATAAAATTGAAGAAAATGAAAATCTCGAAGTGTGAGAAACATAACCTCTGTTACGATAGCGGAGGGCCTCAATCAATTGCCTCAATATCACCCACCAAATAGAACTGCGCTTAGAGTAGATAAAATGGGAAATCTATATGTATTTGCATGTAGATTCTTCACCCACCCCCTATTTTTCTGTAAAGGTACTACCTAATAGATATTCTAGAATTCAGAAGTTAATCAAATAATTACAGTTAAGAGTTACCTGCTGTGAAAGCCAATTAATTTAATTTGGATGATGTGGTGTAATTATTTCTGGTTTAGTCGTATTTCCAGTTCTATTTTCTTAAATATGACTTTTATGACTATTAAACAAAAACATCTAATGAAAGGGTATAAGGAGATTATCAGGAGAATCTTCCTTTCATGGACATGCAAACTGTAGCTTCTTTCCCACTTGTTACTCTGAAACCACCATCCAGGGAAGAAACTTGGAGCTCACTTATAAGAAGCAATATGCCGTCTCTTGTATTAACAATAGTCTGTCACACGCCTTTGTCAGCGGGGACCAGCGCCTACAGGAGCCCCGGCAGTGGAAAGGACACCAGTGCTGTGGCCCTGTAGACGCTGCCATCCAAACTTTCAAACTAGTTGGAACTGTTCGTTCAGTCATGACCAACAAAAAGAAATAGTAAAGACACAAGGCTTTGTAGATTTGTGTGAAACAGAATGGATTATATGTATATATATCTATGTATATGTGTATCTACACACACACACACACACACACACACATTTATATGTCAATTTTCTGGAATAGAAGACTAAGAAGAGGCATCTTGAACTCTTTTGGGAGCCTGAGGCAGGAGATTCGATTCCAGTGTCAGGACTGTAGAAAGCAACGCACATTCAGATTAGCGAAGCGAGCTGCCACTTTAGAGGAGGGCACTGCTGTTGATCACGCTGCTGATGAAGATACTTGGTTGCTACACGATGTGCTAAAGTCTGGTGGCGTAGTGGTTATGCATTGGGCTGGCAACTGCAAGTTCTGCAGTTCGAAACCATCAGCTACATCCCTGGAGACAGAGGGGCCTTCTACTACCTCCAAGCATTTGGGTCTCAGAAACTCACAGGGCAGTTCTACCCTGTCCTAGGCTGACCTTGTTCTCTAAGAGAGAGATGTGGGTTCCGGCAGAGCATTGACTTATAAGTTTTCCCATCTGGTTATTGGGGTTCTCATTCCAGAACCCCCGCATTTTACAAATTTAATTTCTATCTGGATTTTCATTGTTGGCCATGATTGAATCAGGAATAACCTGTTCAAAGCTCTGCCGGCAACTACTGCAGCACCATTCCTGTTTTGAATAGTTCGTGAGGATAGTGTCCACAGTGTTCCTGCCGCTGCCCCCTTTTCCACACTTGACAACAATACTGGAAGAAGGAGGAGGAGGAGCAGAAAGAGAAAGAGGAAACGCTTCTCCACGAGAAAGGGAACTTGTTTATGAAACTCCTTCTGTGTGGGATTTTTCTCACCGGTATTATGACATTTCTCTGGGCAAGCTTTCTTTGAGTCAGTTAAAATAAGCACGTTCAATTGAATGGTTCTTGTACGCTGTGGATTCTTTTTGTGTCTGCTTTCAGGTTGTCTATCCACTAACTTTCTGATACCCTTTCCCATGTATTAGGCCGTCATGGAGATGGAGGCTACTGGCCAGTTGATACTAATTTGATTGACAGAAGCACCCTCAATGGTAAGTATATAATTTAGAACTATGGGGTTAGTTGTAATAATCAAATGGCTAGTTACAGAGTTTCTGAGTCAAACTATTTTCTGCAAGTGCTCAGAACCTTGAACTTCGGGTCTTGCTGTGGATGAGAGAAACAGGAAGTTATAAACCATCTACCAGGACACTCTCCAACTGAGAGTTGACAGGTGCATTGAACACAGTCATTTAAACAAGCCAAAGGAAGGGGCATTTTACAATGGGGTTAGCGTTGTTAAATGTCTAGATTTAAAACTTTTACAATACAGTAAAAAGGTATAACAATTTTAATTTTATTCATGAGAGTATTATCCAAGGGGGTTGAACTGAAACCCATTCAACCTCCTAAATGGAAATTACTGGCGACTTTCAGCCTGAAAAGTGTGGTTCCTCTTCTCAAACCCTCTAGCTCATTAATGCTAATTTCCTGCACATTGTTAAGATTGGACACTGTTCTTTCTGCTAGAACCAATGGAGCACACAGAGATGAGGGAGCTTCAAATTGTTCATGGAAAAATTCCATGACCATCATTCATGTTTCCATGAACTTTTTGAAGCCCCCGGTACATGTGCTGGCTTTGGAGCTGGCAAGATGAAGCTCCTATCTGTAAATGTGTGGAAGAAGGTGAGTGTTGGCTGCTGCCGCCTTCTAGGATCTTTCTCTTGGCTCTGCTAGAACAGAAACTTTAAGGTAAGTGATACTAACCAACCCCCCAAATACTCATCTATACATAAGAAATCCCTTTTGTCGTTTTTTAATTATTGCTTTCTTGCTACTGTTGTTGGTTATACAAATCATTCTTAGTTATTCCAAAAGGCAAGATGAGCACCTGCATAGCCGCCGCCAGAATGAATTGATCAAGTATTCAAAATACCACTTGATATGCCGATAGGTCTCTGTTTTATCAAATGCTTCTTCACCAGTCCTTCTACTTCCCACTTTGATGTAACCACGATCCTGTATGTAGTGCTTACTACCTGGATATGGATAGCCCTAAGCAGTATATTATTTTATATGTTTGCAATTTATATATACATAGTTTCATAAGATACTTATCCTGTTGTGGCTCAGTTTGCTCTTAATTTCGTATTAGAGATCTATCTCTGCATTTATAAATAGCACTCGCTCACTTGTCTATGCCGTTGTACAGTGTTGTAGTTTATGAATGTTGTATGATTTATTTAGCACACCATTATAACTGGTTTTCATGAGGAATTTGATTACTAAACACAGAAATATCCATTTGGGTGATTGCCATCTACAAGTGGCTTCCTGAGCATGAAATTAGAAGATGGGAGTGTGTTACATAATTATTTCCTATCATAGGGCTATCATAATCTAATACATTCATTTCCCCAATGAAAGGAAGTATATCATTGGAGTGGAACAGATGTTCAAGACGAAGTTGAAGATCTCTTCTCCCCTGGGCAGTGGAAGAATCTGGGATATCTTTTTACAGGTCAACTCGTCCAGTAGCCAGGCATACTTCCTCCAGCCTTTTACTTAAACCAAGACTGGCAGCGTGTCCAAATTTAAGCATAAATAGAGTCAAACCAAGTATTTGCAAGGCTGTGTATCTGGGTACTCTCTCCAGTCTGCACAGGTCTTCACACTTCCTAATGTCGGGTACACGGGCTCTCTTTCCACATTCACTTCACGTGACTCCTTTCTCTAAGCATTTGAGTTTGAGGCTTCTCTTGTAGCTAGTGTCTTATACTGACAGATACTAGTTTTCAATATGCATGAGTCTGTTTGAGGATACTGGGAAGATTGGGAACAGAACTAGGCCAATTGCCAAAAGGAATTCGTGTAGATAATGGTCACTCACTGCCATCTAGTTGATTCTGACTCAGAGTGACCACACAGGATGGGCAGAACTCTCTATGTGAGTTTCCAAGACCGCAACTCTTTATGGGAGTAGAAAGTTCTGTCTTTCTCCAGTGGAGCAGCTGGTGGTTTCCAACCACTGACTTTGCTGTTAGCAAACCAATGAGTAACCACTACACCACCAGTGCTCCTATATAATGTTATTTCCCTTCTTTAACCATTTACATATTTACAATGTCATTAACTCATTCTCTCATATCCAGTTTTATCTTAAACCCCAGTGATTTGAAAGTGTATTTACATAGTCAACCAACCAGAAAACCCAATCCATTGCCATAGAGTAGATTAGCACATCTAAGGCAGACTTTTTCTTTAGGGTTTTCAAGTGACTATAAATCTTTATGGTAGCAGATAACCTCATCTTTCTCCTGGAGAGCAGCTGGTGGGTTTAAACTGCTGACCTAGCTCAATGCTTATTCCACAGTGCCACCAGGACCCCTTGTGTATTCAACCATAAACTCTCACTGTGTTCAGGCAATTTATTATAAGTTATGGGTACAAACTAAGAGATAGACCACCAAGAAGTAATAAACCAAGGGGCAAATTACCCCTGTTGACAAGTCAGAGAAATGTACCCCTGGAAGATGAACAAGGGTGAGAAAAATCTAAGGAGTGTGACAAGGATGTGGGGGAGATAGCTGTTAAAATAGTGTTTAAAAATTATTATTATTATTTTACCATGAGTTAGAGCAGATCTGGGTAGAGCAAATGGTGAAACAGGTGGCTGGCACCAAACAGTTGTAGGTACAAGTTCCCATAAAGGAAGAAAGACCCGTGGTCTTCCCGTGTTTAGGTAACGTTCTGAAAACATCAGGCAAACAAACCGCAAGAAGCACATTTTACTCTGGTACACAAGGGCCTGCCAAGAGTCTAGGTTTGGTGATTTGGAGTTTGAGAGAAGTTTGGAAGCTGTCCTGGTGGCACACTGGTTAAAGTGCTTGGCTGCTAACCCAAAAGTCAGTGGTTTCCACACACCTGCTGGAGAATGAGGCCGACAATCTCCTCTGGTAAAGGATTCCAGTGTTGGAAACCCACTGGGCCGTTTTGTTCTGCCCTGTAGGATCAGCAGGAGTCAGAGTCAGCTGTACACCAGTGGGTTTGGGATGGCTTATATTTAGCTAAGTTTGGAGCCCGTCTGGGAGCTAACTTTGTCCCCTCTAAAATCACCCGTCAGAGCTGACTTTGAGATACTAGTTCAACAGTGAGTTTGAAGTTAGAATGAATCTCTAGCCAAGAACAGGATTATCAATACTGGTATAGAGTAGTATTATTTGAAGACGGCATGCCAGAGCATTAAAGGGGGAGTTGTCATGGATAATGGAGAAACATTCATTATCCCCGTGCAGTTTTCAGCCCCTACTGAGTAGTCGTTATGTGTGCTAAAGGTAAAGTGAGTGTCAACCACAAACTCTGAACGATTTACTCCCTTAAACTGCAAGTCCAAAGGCTGACAATCTTGGATGGGTTTGCTGGATCTACCAACTAAAAATACAGGATGTTCAGTACAATGCAAATTGCTCCTAACTGCCTAAGAATTAGTGCATGGGAGTCCCATTTCAATGTACACAGACATCCCGATGTACATAAGCACAGGCAATTTGAAATATTTCAAGTTTAAATGTTGTTCTTTCAGTTGCTGAATCTGACCACCTTGTTCGTTGGTCTGGGTTAAAAGCTAGGTGGTGACTCTCTGAACTGCCTTTGCAAAATAATACTGGAATTTTCTCGTTGAAAAGACATGGTAGCCCAATTGGATGTCAACCAAGAAGCCAACAAGAACTTTTTTGGGGGGAGAATCAGATGAAGGGCATGACGTCATTGTTAGCAATGAGTGCCATCCTCTTCACTTTATTTTTACATAAGGGTTCTATCAAGAAACTTGTCCCTAGGAACTTGAATGAGTTGTAATTGAGCTAGACCTGATGTCCAAGGGAAAGTCAGGAAGATTTAATAGATGGCTGGCACTCAGTGGCTGTGAAACAATTTGTCGGCATTGCTCTTACCCTTTTCACACATTACTCCATGATGTTTGGGGAATTTTATACTAAGTGAGTGGAATGAACAAGGCACCTGAGATACCTTTAACAACTCTACTGAAATAACCATTTGTTACACGCAACTTGACTGATTACATCGAATTGGTAGCCTCAGAGACACATGAACGGTGGAACAAGCTTCAATCTGTTCCCTGTTCTATTTGCCAGCACATAAAAGGCAGTCAATATGCGATGTAATTCTAGCCTGGGATACTACAAACAAATTAATAAAGGTGTCAGAAAAAATTCCAGCTTCCTAATTAGAAGTCTGCTAATGCATTCTGCTTTGGAAGGGGGGGGGTGGTATATTTCCCATTTAGATGTGCAAATGAGGTCACTGCCTCTGGCAAAACCCCGCCCCCGAACAATGGGCTGCACCGAACAATGGGCTACAGCAGAAGAATCTTTTGAAACCAATCTTTGAACATGGGATCCCATGAAAGTGTCATACATCTCCTCATAGAGTGACAGAATTACAGAGCTTTCCCATCTTTACTTTTTGCTGGGGTCATTCTTGAAAAAATTGTAGATAATTATGTAATGAAATAATGGCTTATTGTCAGGCTCCTCAAGCCAGTTGCAAATACATTTTGACCTCGCTAATCATTTATTTTCTCTTACAGCATGCCACTCTTTTACAAATGCACCCTTGGAATTTAAATAAAGACAAACAAAGCTATAGTTCATGTTTATGCTTGTAGTTGGAAGCCCTTAATTAAATTGTGGAAGCTGAAGAAGCATCTAAATTATTTTCTTATGACAGGTAGAATCAAAGCTAATATGTTGTGATATGGTAGTATTTTTATTTTATGATGCATTCAGTTAAAAAAATTTTATTAGGGTTCACATTCTTAAGTCAGGAAAATCTTTAACATCTGAAAATGTGAGTTTGTAGTTTATATTAGTTTGAATAACAACAACTATGAAAATTACTTCAATATAATACTACTTTTCTCATTAGAGAAGACAAAATTCCAATTTCTTCTTGTTGATAATGGTGCCTATAATATACTAGTTTAGCAAGTTCGGTTAAAACATCTATCAACTCTTGAAATTGTTCTTTT